GCCTTATCACCTCAAGGCAGATTTTAAGAAGTGCTGCCAGTTCGGTGTTATAGGAATTCTTGAACCCAGTGGCTGCTTTTAAAAGGTATGAGTGAAAACAGACCCAGGAGGAGGCAGGGTATCGTGCTTTATTTGTGTTGAAGCAGGGGGTGGTTCTGCTTGATTTCTGCTCATGTCTAAGGAGGCCCCAAAGGGTCCATACAGCTTTTTTTTTTTTTTTTTTTTTTTTTCTGCAGGTGGTTATGGGGGTTGGGGGAAGAAAATCAGATTGGTTATGTGGGCAGTGCAGGGAGGTATGGATATAACATGGGAAGAGACCAGGACAGATGAACGTTAAAACCTTCTTTAGATCAAATTTTATTTCTGTACTTTATACATAAAGATGTCTATCTAAACTGATAGTTATTCTACTGACTGATAGGTGAACTTCAGACATAAACTGAGAGTTGTCCAAGTGTGCTGGTTACACAGCAGGAGCACAGAGAAGAATGCTTTGTGTGGGAACTAATCACAAAATCGACTTAACTGTTGTGTTGTGGAATATTATTCCAGAAGAAATTTGGATACTTGTTTCAATCTTCTGCTTTTTTTGTAGCGGACGGGGTACAGGATGGCTAGGTACACTTCAGTGAATAAGCTCACTGGTGTGGAAACAAAATGAGTTTAGGACTTCTGTGATTATGATTATCATGCATTAAAAATAACATAAATCAGCATTTGCCTAATACTGAAGACACATTTGTGGACAGGTCATGCTAAAGCTATTTTGGTAAGAATAATTTGTCTGGGTTTAAGTTAAAAATCCTTCATTACTTTAAGAATATATGAATCAGGGTTAAAAGTATAATTGGCTTTTTACTGGGGACACAATAGGGAAATGTCTCAGCTCTTGGCTACAGATGCTTTGCTACAGAGGAATTAACTAGCCAGTGTTTTCAGATGTTTATATGGGCAGTTATTCTCAATACTATTAAAAACAGAATTAGAGTGACATATGACAGAGCAAAATATTATTTCCAAAATTTTCTTCAAAGTTGGAGTTTTTGACAGTTTCCTTCTTCCTCAAACACCTCTTCCTTGAGAGCTCCTAAGTGAGAGCAAGCATTTCTTTTCATTTCCAGAATTTATCCTGCTCTCCCTGCTGTTTACAATGCCCAGGACTCTTAAAGCAAGACGCCTCACATACACATTTTCCTTCGTGCTCCTTGTTCTTAGCATCTTGCTGGGTAGCTGCTCTAACCTCTTCTCCCCAGCAATCCCAGCTTCTTTCCCACAATATCATTAGCTGCTGCAGCTTGCTGAGCCTGGCACTTCATTAGACTTCCTGCTAAAGCTCCAGCTTCTGTTTCTGTCAGGTACTTCAGAAATGCATTCAGAAACAAATTTTTTTTTTATTAAAGAAAAACCTTACCCCTGAGTGGAGCCCAAAGCACAAAAGATGTGTGCCAGGAAACAAGAATGGATTTATAGCATCAAGTGATGGCCAAAATGGTTTGAAACTTTTGACATGTGTGTCAACACATGCAAGCTCATTCTACTACCAAGTAATTGTGATGCTATTAAATTTTCTACTCAAGAGGATTGCATTGCTTCTGGAGGTAGTAAATCTTCCCTTACTAGACTCTGACAAAGAAGTCGTCTGTCTTCCTAGGCTTTCATCTTGCAGAACGTGTAAAGAGGTGCTAGAATCTCCTCCTCGCTTCAGAGGATAGAGGATGTACCTGTCCCTGTGTGCACAGCATTTCTGCTTTGGCAGTCCTCTGTGGGGAGAGCGGAGCAGTACCACGCAGGGAGGCTGTGTGGCTGGAGTATCTTCCTGGTTCAGGCAGCATTGCTTCTACCCTGAGATCAAGGGAAATGATGTAGACGGGGATGAATGATGTGGCTGCACTTGTAATGTGTTCTGGTGATGCAGCACAGGGTACATCGGTTACTCCTGTGGCTGCTCTAACAATGTCAGCATCTGATAACTGCGATCATGTCCTGAGTGTGACCTGGTTACTGGTGTATTGCCCATTATTAGCATAGTTCTGAAAGGCGGGAAACTGAATTTGTTCCTTCATATTTCAGTTAGAAATGAATCATTAAGGACATAATTTTGCACAATTTGTAGATGAATGTAGTAGGAACAAAGACAAATGTTGCTACTAAGTTTAAACTAGATGTAACACATCTGTGGGCTGGGCATTTAGAATTGATTTTAATGTGAAATCTATTTCTTATGTGAAATGTAAGCTTCCTGATTTTCTGTTACCTTGAGAAATATTTTTTTACGTTTGTCATGCTAACATGGTCCTGGAGCTGAGAATTCAAAGAAAGTTGGAATAATGCATAAAACTGATGATCTTCTCTCAAACCTTAAGGTAAAAGACTGAATTAGAAGCTTGTCAGTCTAAGTGGCCTTCACAGAGGACATAAAACTTTCTCCAATAAGATTAAAGATACTTTCTCTAATTTGCTGAATATTCTAGTCTTCAGGTTACCCGTAAAAGGAGCAAGGGAAATGGAAAGAAAACTGCCTGTAATTCTTAGTTTTCAGTCTGAGATTTGAGTACATCTAGACTGCTTGTTTATATTGAAAATGTTTATCATCGTTTTCATGTAGGATGTTAAGCAGTTTTGGAAACATTCTATCTTGTCTTGCGACTGCTTCTTTTATAGAACTAATAGTTATTTTTAATACTGAAAAAAGGAAGCTGTATCCTGTCTTGTACAATATTTTGCAATAAGGTAGTGGGGAAAGTATTTCTTACTGTGTTGTAAGATGTGAGTTAGCATACTTTTATCTAAAACCTAAGAAAGTTAAAATACTGAATTTTTACACGTACTGATATGTTCTTATTAAAACAAAGTATTTTGTTTCTGGTAAACACTCCTTATTAATAAAAAATCTTCTATCAAAAGATTGAAATAATCGGAAATAATTATTTGGGGTTTTTTGTAAGAGGAAATTTATATGCGTTTGCAGAGAACAAAAAAGATTACTATTCTAGGAGTTTCATACTGGTGCTCAGAGATTGAGTCAAGGATGGCAGAAACTCTTTGTGTAAGGAATTGAATTTAATTATGAGTTCTTCCTTTCCAGGAGAAAGGTGAAGCTACTAGAGTCTGCCTGGATAATTGTTAACAATGCTGGTATATTATGTAGCTGCTTCACCCAGTGTAAAACTGTTGCACAGCTTGTAACACACAGCTTGTCTCTGCCCATGTGGCCACTTCAGGAAATCGTAACATGGCAAGACTAACTGCTACAAGGACCTATTAACTTCTTACTGCTTTGTCTGAAAAGACATGACTGATGTTCTGGAATTCATATATATGGAATGCAAAGGAAGAGGACAAGGAAAAAGCAGAAAATATTTGGCTTAATAATGTTTTGACTTTATGGAAAGTGGACTTACTTGAGGTAGTCTAATAGGTTTGGATAGGCTAGGGCAAGGAAAAGGGCAAGCAGAATTGGCATTAATTGGAATTAATTATAGAATTCTTATAGAGTAATTAAAAAAATTTTTTTTCCTCCAAGTTCTGATAAAATCTCTCAATTTTTCCCCCTACCAGTATCCCCTTGTGTTTGGACTGATCCTTGCATTCTGCTGGTGTTCTTTGGTTTGCTGTAGTCGAATTTATATGGGAATGCATTCAATTTTGGTAAGAAAATAATCCTACTAAACTTTTTATGTTGTTTTGATTTCATAAACTTCCATCACACTTAAGTTTTTACAGTGCAGTAATTGTATATAGGCTTTATTTTTAGAATGTCCCACCATATAGGAACTGAATACTTAAATTGATTCATCAGAGAAACTGATAAGATAGCTAAAAGTGGATGTCGAACTTCTGTTAATTTATACTTTTCTTTCAAAAACTCAATCCACAGTGGAAACTTAGCTGATGCTTAGGAGCAGTTTTAGTGAAGAGATTGATGATTGCACTAAAGCATAAACTAAGCTTTTCTCTACAGAGTAGAAATAATTTTGCAGGATGAAACTGGCTGTTAATGTCCACTTGGGTACCATGTCAGCTACTCAAAGCATGTGCATTTCAGAGTGCCATGCTAAAAGCTAGGGCTTCAGGTACCAAAGTTTCTAAAGAACCAAAGAGCAAAGTTGTAATTTTTGAAAACCAGACTTATTTATCAAAAAGGATTTAAAAAAATCAAACTGAAACACAAATGCATGCAGTGTAAAAATGGGAAAACAAGAACACTACAAATTGGTAATCAGATGTAAGACCACTAATAAGGATGACTAAAGAGGTTTTTGAAGATCACTTGCTAGGAGAAAAGCTAACAGACAGAAAACAGTGAGCCTGGTAGTGAGTAGTAAAGCTGGTAAATGAACACAGTGTAAAAGGAGCATGTGAAAATAAGTAAGCTTAGAAAAAGTGAATGACATATTTACGTTAGTGATTAGGAGCCTTCCTAAATCAGAAGCACTTGTGTGGAGGATGATGGGATGAACTGATATTTCAGCTGACAATGTCAGCTGACAGATAATTTCTTAGAAGAAAGTCATGCAACAA